TTCAGCAGTTCGAGACCCGGGTGCCGCAAGATGGAGTGAGCTCGCGTCTCTAGTTCCAGCTCCTGCCAACCTAGCAGTTTGAAAGCAAGAAATTGCAAGTAGATAAATAGGGACCACTTTGGTGGGAAGGTAACAGTGTTCCGTGCACCTTGGTGTTTAGTCATGCCGGCCACATGACTACGGAAACGTCTTCGGACAGTGCTGGCTCTTCGGCTTTGAAACAGAGATGAGCAACGCAACCCTAGAGTCGGATTCGACTGGCTTTCGAGCAAGGGAACCTTTACCTTTACCTTTAATATGGAAATATCATGTGACGTGTGGGTGGCATTCAAAGTTTTAAAAAATTTAGTCCTGCCACAGTTAAAACTTTTAACTGCAGACCCAACCTCTACCTCCCTCCCTCCCTCCATAATTCTGCAAAAAGAAAGGGAAGGGAGGGGGAAGTCCAGGCCCACACATCTAAGACTGACACATTTGGAAGCAGGGAATCCCCTAGTCTTTTATATTTACTGATTCCTTCTTATGCTCTCACTGGCTTTTAAAAAGTTTGCCTGAGTGGAAGGACACATCCTCTTTTGTCTTTGGAGAAGGAGGGCAAGAAAACAGAACGGGGAGGGAACGTCAACCTAAAGAGAGAGAGGTGGAAACGGGGGAGGGCAGCGGGCAGCCCTTAAATACCCGCAGGAACAATTCTACTTTAGAAAGGATTAGTGATTCGAAAGTGGATGAGAACAAAGAATTGCTGCAAAAGGAGTTTTGGTAAGTGCAGGGCAACAGTGTGCTGGAAGCGGTCTGAATGCAGATTCCTGTAAAACGAATGCAGAAACAAGAAAAAGCTCCAACACAAACTGGAAATGAAAGCTGGAGGGAATGCAGAAAGGAATAATAGGATGTGCTCAGAAACTGAGGCAAAATATGGGTGCAGAAAGTGCTGTTGTCTACGCTGACGGGCAACAACTCTCAGGCAGAGAAGGGTCTTTCTCACCATCTGCTACTTGAAATCAGATTTTATGAAGGGTACCAGCCAATGTTCCCTCTAAGCTGTGGAATCTTGTGAGCAAAACTTCTACTTTGTGAGCTACAGCCATCAAAGCTGTGAGCAAGCCATTTGGCTACTGCATACATTAGTTTGCTCTGGAGCCATCCTTCCTGAGCTGAGACAAAACTGTGTGAGCCAGAGGTTGAAAAACTGTGAGCTAGCTCACAGTAACTCAGCTTAGAGGGAACACTGGTACCAGCCATTGACCCTAGTTGTTCCTCTAGGGTCCATTGACTTTAATGGATTTAGAAGGGTGTACCTTTGTTTAGGATTGCACTGTACAAAGTGTAGGTTCAATTTCTGCATTCTGATTTCACTGGTTTTCTATGCAGGCCTCTGATGGCCACTTACCTATGCAGACAGATTGGGAAGGACAGATGGTTATCTGATGGTACATGTTTGTTCCCTTTAAGTGTGATTAGTGATCATGCCTCAGGTTGCTGTAGTTTTACTGGTCTTGTGCCCGTGTCTTTAGCAGCAGCGTGGCTTGTGGAAGTATAGCAGCTGAAGCTGGTTTTGGCATGGAGATAGAGATATGGAAACTGTTAGGCTACTGTAGGACCCAGAAGAGAAAACGTGGTATATTTTTATGCTTTACCCAAGGAGCTCAGGGCAGCACAGACGATGATTTCCCTCCCAATTTATTCTTAAAACTTCTGAGGTAAAACTTCTGAGGAGAGAGAGCACGACTTGAATCTATAAATCCCCCTGCTCTAATTCTATTCCAGCTATTATCTCACACTGGCTCTGAAGGTTTTTGCTTTCATTCCGTTTCCACGTGTGCAAAACAGAGCGCGCACGCGTGTGTGTGTTATAATCCCATCCTGTTTCCACTGGTGGATTAATGCAGCAATTAACACGTTTTTAAACTGAGTGTTGAATCCGGAAATTAAATATCCTAATGACACATGAGGGAGTTACGTTCATTTTACAAAATGGGGAACAAAAATATTTTTTCAGCTGATCCTATGGTTTTCAGTGCTTATCACAGGATTCTTGGCCCAAAAATCTGGCCGTAGAGCTCTACTCCTGAATAACCCTGCAGACAGGGTTTATAAAAGAAGAATATGAGAATATGCATATGGGGGGCAGGGAGAACAGCAGCAGCAGATGAAAGCAACTGCAGAGAGACAAATTGGTGCCGAATATTCGAGAGGACAGTTCCACCTGCGCTCTTCTTGGACCCCTTGCAAAGGGCTGCGGTCTGCTGATCTAATTACTGTCATTTTTATCTGTGAGAAAACAGTCCCCTCTCTGTCCTGGAGGCAAATTAGTTCCAGGAATTGGAACAGAACAAACACCAGCAGCATCTGATTCTCTGAGGGGAAAAGAGAGGGGGGGGGTTCATTGCGCGAAGGGGGTATCTTAGCCGGGCTTCATTATCCTCGAATCTGTTTCCAATTATATTTCGAGAAGGCTTGGCTTTGCCTTGTGACTAGCGCAGCTGTTATTAGCCGTGTTTTAACAACCATTAGAGAGATATTGCCCTATTCCTTTTGACAGCCATTAAGAACAAATTAGGATGAGCAGTTCTGAGTGAGGCTTCTTCCTGCAGCAACGGAAACAGTCGCTTCACATTGGCCGACACTGGCTGGGGAGAGTTTTTCCCTGCCATATCTGCTGGAGTGAATATTCTGGAGAGGAAGATCATATCTGAGACTACTGTTTATCTTGATATAGGCAGGGCTGCATGTACTCCACGGAACACTTGTACTAACTGCAGCATCCGGCTTTTAGCAAACTGAGAATATCTGCCAGATAGGACTGCGCTTCCATAATTTATTCTTCTGTTTTTCGTAATTTATGTTGCAAGTCATGCAGAATAGGGTTGCCAACTTCCAGGTGTTGGTTGGAGATCCCCTGGGATTCAATTGATCTCCAGGTGACAGAGATCAGTTCACCTAGAGAAAATGGCTGCTTTGGAAGGTGGACTCTATGGCATTATACCCCATTGAAGGCTTTCCTCTCCCTATCTCCCTCTCCCCAGGCTCCACCCCTCAAGTCTCCAGTCATTTCCCAACCCAGAGGTGGCAACCCTATAAAGAGAGGCAAATCTCTATACCTCAAGAGCATTATTCCAGAGAAGTAGCTATGTAAGTCTTTCGCAGCAAAAATGGATAGGAGTCTAATAAGATTTTATTCTAGTATAAACTTTTGTGGACTGGAGTTCATGGTTTTATTTTGGTCAGCCCAAGTCTCTAATCCACAAATGTTTACAGTGGAATACAGTCAGTCTTTAAAGTGCCATACAGGACTCCTTTTGGTTTTCTGAAGATGCTGAGCCTGAGTGCCCAGGGTAAACATAGTTAAAAATAAATTAAATAAATATACAGGCAACTGAAACCCCTGAAAATCTTCCTCTTCAGAGGACTGTATGGTTAATGTTTTAAAAGTCTGATGGTCCTTTTCTTGATGGTCTTCGAAACAACACTGAAGAGTGGGGTATTGTTTTATGGTGTCTGAAAGTTAGTGAAAAGGCAAAGATTTAGGATCCCCGTTCCCAACCCTTATTCCCTTGGAAGTGTAACTCCATTTGCAGAAAGGAAGGCTACATTTGAGACCTGGAACTTCTCATCTTAGGTCTCACCTAGATGATACGTGTGACATAAGTTGGGTTCGGGATCCCCTGATCTGACTTGCAGTCACACGTAACATCAGAGAAGTA